GTGCTTGAAACTGGTCCCTGGCACAAAAAAGGTTGGGGACCACTGAGCTACACGATCCCAGGAAAAGACCCTGCTGTTTTGTAGAGCTGAGGACAAGTGCTATGTTTGTGCTCCCTCAGGCTCCACATTTCTTTTTTCTTTCTGATCCTGTTAATCAGACATCGTCCTACCTGGGCCACATCAGTGCCAATACGAGCTGCATCTGTGCTTAATTGCTTCTCTTGCTCCTCTACCTCAGGATCGGGCTTAGTTCGCAGATGATCAGGTACAACTTCATGGCTGAACACTGGCACTCGTCCTTCTGTCTGGCGCTGCAATATTCAGTCTATTAGGACTCATATCTTGCAACAAAATCAGACAATACAAAGCTAAACTCACAGGTCTCAGGTTATTGGAAATGTAGCTTCAGAATACCTACCTCTGCAAGTTTTTAATCTTTCTCTTTCTTATAATAAAATGAGGCAATTAAAATAAATTTCAATGAGTTAGCGTCTTCACCATCTGCAAGTCAGCCGTTATGAAGGAACAACTTGAAACCTGAACTATGATATTGAATTGCCACATGCAGTATACATCAATGTATTACATTGTACTGCAGTGTGATGATTCATCCTGAAAATAATATTGACCAAAATATAGGGAATGAATGAGCATTCCCTGATCAGCTCCATGTTCATTTTGGAAATGTGCTTTGGAAAACAAGCTGGCCCCCTCTTTTTTGTGGCAGTCTCTCAAATACTGTTCTGAATTAAAGCAATTACTTAAGATTATGTCTTTTCTTTCCCCATTCACTTTTATAATTCTGTCACCTGTGCATAGCCCTGCTTCAAAAGCAGACCTTCCATCCTTAACTTGTTTAACAAATATGGTGTCCATTGGCCTTGGCTTCTTTCTTGGATTCCCTGGTTGCAGTTTCCCGGTGAGAGGGAGTTTTTTCTCATGGGGTGGCCCCTGCTGTCCAACAGGTTGCCATTATATTAATCTCCAGTTGCAAAGAAGAAGAAAAAATCACTGGAATCCATGTGTAAAGGAAGTAGCGCATAACCAAAATAGGTGTCCAAGGGAAGAAGTGAGGAGGGAGGGTGTTTGTGTGTGTGTGGGTATGTGTGGGTGTGGGTGTGCGTGATAATAAGGGAATGTAATAATATATTACTTTATCGCTTGGCCATGCTCTTGTTTACGTGGAACTGATAGGCTGCCAAATTATGATTTCAACATAGATTTGATTTGTTATTTGTCATTATTTTATTCTAAAACTTATAACTAGATACTCTTTGAAAGGTTTTAATTGTGTTGGTCTTTGACTGTAATAAATATTTGTTATTTAAATAATAAAGCAATACATATAAAAGCAATTTTTAAACATCATACAGAAAAATTGAAGGTTTTTAAAAAGAAGACATTTGTATTTTGAGTAGGAAAAGAATCAGTGTTTTGATTTATTAAAAAGACTTACATTCTGTAATAATCAAGCTAATTTAGTAAAGGTCTGGATTTAATGTCTCTTTCTCTAATGAAAATCAACTTCAATGAGTTAGCGTCTTCACTATCTGCAAGTCAGCAGGAGCAGCTTGAAACCTGGACTGTAATATCAAACTGTATACAGTATACATCAGTGTATTATTTATTACATTGTACTGCTGTTTGATGAATTTTGATTCATCCTGAAAACAATATTGGCTGAAATATAAGGAATGAATGAGCATTCTCTGATCAGTTCCATGTTCATTTTCAGGACTATCTTATAGGAGTTGTATAATATGAAGAACTCATTGGGCAATAATGTTTTGAAACCTGTCCTAGAGATGTTAAAAGCAAGTCATTAAACACAAGAGTCTATTTTATTGCATTGCAATGCAACTTATCACAGGACCAGATTAAATTCCAAAACAGACATAATCTAAAAGATATAGGGCGATTATGCTCATTCAGTTTCTTACTCCAGGGATTATGCTTTATTGATCTAGTTTGCTGACGTAGTCTTCACATACAGAAGTGTAGGCAGTTGAACTTTCATCAAAATATAAGTAAAAAGTACCTTTCTAATACTCATCTCACAATAAAAAAAGTAAAAGCATATACGAAGAAATTAGATTGTAGTGAGTTTGGTTGGAATCAGAGGTGGTATTCAGCAGGTTCTGACCAGTTCTGGAAAACCGGTAGCGGAAATTTTGAGTAGTTTGAAATACCCCCCCCCCCGACTGGCCCCACCTCCATCTATTCTCTGCCTCCTAAGTCCCAGCTGATCGGCTGGGTCTTCTTTTGTTGCCCTGCACAGGAGAATGGAGCTGGAAAGCAGGTTAGTGGGGTGGGGAGAGAATGGAGATTTTATAATATTCTTCCCCTGGAGTGGGGTGGGAATGGAGATTTTACAGAATCCTTCCCCTGCTACGTCCAAGCAATGCCCACCAAGCCACACCACACTCACCATGCCATGCCCACAGAACCGGTAGTAAAAAAAATTGAATCCCACCACTGGTTGGAGTCCAATCCATTTCCACCTATGCTATGAAGGGTTCCATTTAAAATGTACTACACTTGATCTTAGCCAAATGGCTTCTTTCTTCAAGGCCTTGTACCATTCATTCTCCAAGATAAATTCTGTTCTTCATGGATCAAGGCTGTTGAGTCCAACCTTGCTAAACTAGGCTTTTCTCCATCCTCAATACTCAAGTTGCCCGATGACCAGAAAAAACAAACCCTAAGACAAAGGGTTGAGGACACAGAAAAGCAAACAGATCCATTGTTTCTGGCTCCAGATTCAATTTAATATACTGTCACCCCTGCCAGTTATCTTAGCCAGTTAAAGATAATGAATCATCATATACTGTCACCCCTGCCAGTTATCTTAGCCAGTTAAAGATAGTGAATCATTTTCGCTTACACTATGTCATGTGCTTCCCCTCAGCCGTCCTGGATGGCAAATATGAAGGGATATGGTTGGCTGACCCTGTGATTCTGGAGCAGGGGAAACCTCTGGATACACCCTCCTTTGCTGCTCTTTTTATAGAGACATACAAACAACATTTATTTTCCATACAATTAATAGGTATCTTGGCTGTTTTGATACAATTTATCTTTTGTGGTTACTTAAAGATGAACGGATCATAGTCACAGTGCAAGTAGATAGATTCTATGCAGTAGCACTAAAAATTCGCTGGAACTTGATAAATAAACCACTAGAATTATTTCATACAATTAATGCACCAAATCTTTCGATATGAGCACCGTGTTATATTTTAGTACCTGATAAGTTTAGGCGTTCACAATTTTAGGATTAAAAATCAATCAGAATAGAGCTGGAAGGGACCTTGGAGGTCTTCTAGTCCAACCCCCTGCTCAAGTAGGAGACCCTATACCAGTGATGGCTAACCTTTTCGGCACCAAGTGCCCGAAGCATGCATGTGTGCACCCCCAAAATGCAATGTGTGTGTGCACCCCGCACATGCAACCCGTACGCATGCGCGGCTGAGACCTGAAGACCAGCTGGCTGGTTGGAGGTGCGCGTGTGCATGCACATGAGCAGCAGAGCTGAGCTGAGGTTACGGCTCGCATGCTCAGAGAGAGGGCTCTGCATGCCACCTCTGGCACGCATGCCATATGTTCGCCATCACAGCCCTATACCATATCAGACAAGTAGCTGTCTAGTCTTTTCTTAAAAACCTCCAGCGATGAAGCACCCACAACTTCTGAAGGCAACTTGTTCCACTGGTTAATTGTCCTCACTGTTAGGAAATTTCTCCCTAATTCCAGATTGCTTCTCTCCTTGATTAGTTTCCACGCATTGTTTCTTGCCTTGCTTTCTGGTGCAAGATTATCGTCATTATTTTATTCTAGAACTTTTAACTAGGTACTCTTGAGAAGTTTTAATTGTAATGGTCTTTGACTGTAATAAATATTTGATATTTAAAAGGTAAATCAACACATATAAAAGCAATTTTTACAGGAAAACTTAAATTCTGTAGTAACCGAGCTAACTTAGTAAAGATCTGGATTTAATGTCTCTTTCTCCCATGCATTCACATATACTCACCGACTCACCACATGAACATGTATATGCACATACACACACAGACACATACAAGGATGCATGTATCTTTTTCTATTATATGGCTCCATATAATGACAAAACAGCTTGACTTTGCCTATAAACATATGCTGATCTCTCTTTTAAGGTCACTATTCCCTATATACAATTTTGTTGTGCAACTGAAGGTTGAGTTATATAGCATATGATAATTGCTTCCAGTTAAAAAATCCAATCCTGTAATTTTAATGCTTTCTTCTTTTTGGCTGGAAGAGCTTATTTTAAGCTTTGCAAAACATTTCTATAACTGCTGTCTAAAGTCTACTATTATTATGATATTCCTTATCAGACAGAATTGAGTGCTTTAGGCAATCTACAAGGGCGGGTTCCAAAATATAAAGTTGCATTTAGATCTGCAAAAGATCCGTTCAATCTGGTTTGCTCAGCATACTGTAAAGCAGTGATCCCCAACCTTTTTTATGCCGCGGCCCGGTACCGGCATCAGCTGGGCGCCGCGGCCCGGTACCGGCATCAGCTGGGTGCCGCGGCCCGGTATCGGCATCAGCTGGGCGCCGCCATCTTTTTTTGATGAAAAAGTGCTTCCGGTGAGCTTTCTACCCAGAAAAGCTCACCGGAAGCACTTTTTCATCAAAAAAAGATGGCGGCACCCAGCAAACCAGCGGCCTGGTAGGACTTGTTCCACAGAACGGTACCGGTCCGCGGACCGGTGGTTGGGGACCCCTGCTGTAAAGCCTTCATGTTCTACATTTAGCAGTATTGGACAGAGGGCTTATAAAGCCTCACTTAAAGAAATTGTTCTTCTTCCCATAATGAACATGGGACATGAATTTCTTCATTGTTCCATCTATATGCTGGCATATTGATACAACTTTCTAGTAGAGATCAAACTTTCAGGGAGAGAAAGGTGGTCAACCGTCCTATTATAGAGTTGCCAAATTCTTATTGGTAGCTATTGCTAAAAGAAGTCTTTAGATGTTCTAATCCTGGAATGATGTTACAAAGAAGTCCTTTTATTCTTTTATCTAAATTTTATTCTTATTTATTCACTTTTTCTTTATTATATACTGTTCTCTTTTGCTTAATTCTTATAGTAAATTTTAATTGGCAGTTTATATAGTAATTTTATGATATTTAAGTTTGCTTTTATGCATTATATTTAGCTACTTAGCTGGTCACTGATCAAAAATAAAGTTTTCATACTATTACTATTCAAGAATAACATGTTTATGTCCTTTTATTCTATTGTCATACAGAGTAGTATCCATAACATTTCTATTAATCAAATACTTTAGTCTCTAGAAAGAAAAAAAATGCTCTTGGTTTCCTAGTCCTTCTATATATTTGTCTTTGTGAAAGTTTGCAAGCTTTGCATTATTCACTCAACCTTTTCCTCACTGATAAAAGATTCATTGTTCAGTCAGTACACAGTCAACTTACAGACATTTGTTTCATGACCGTTTGAAATTACAATGTATTGAAAAAAGTGACTTACGACCATTTTTTACACTTCACAGATCCCCACAGTCACATAATCAAAATTTGGATGCTAGGCAACCAGAATGTGTTTATATGATAGTTGCTGTATCTGGGATCATGTGATCACTTTCTGCAACTTTCTTACAAGCAAAGCAATGGGAAAGCCAGGTTCACTTAACCACCATGTTACTAACTTAAACAACTGCAATGATTTAGCTGTGACAAGAAAGCACAAAACTCACTTAACCACTGTCTTGCTTAGCAAGGGAAATTTGGGGCTCAATTGTGGTCATTAGTTGAGGACTACCTGTATCTTATTTTCTCCTAGAACTATAAAATAATTATTGTGGTCAAGAAAAGGTGCAAACTGAGTCAAATTCTTACCATTATCTCTTCATCCCGATCTGGCGATAACACTAAAGGGATAATAACCTGATTGCGCAACAGTGGAGTCTTCTCATGCTTCAGCACTTTGTTCAGAGTATTAAGCTGCCCTGACAGCAGAGCAAAACTATCTAGCACGGAGGGCCTAAGGCAGAAAGACGGAAATAGAAATATGTGAATTATATCAAAATAACATCTGTGGATACATTTGAAGGAATTAAATTACTCTTTGGATTAGAATGCTGTAACAAAGAAATATAACTCACTGAACATAACCACCCTAATTCTAACAGATGTCATGTACAGATTTCCCTATAGGAAATATTTAGTTATATAATATATATTTTGGTTTCTACACATTCAAGGCAATTAACAATTCAAATCACAAATCTTAGAAACTAAAAGACAAATTAAAACCAATTAAAGCATTGGCAATTACAATTTTGGTGAAGAAATGTGTCTTGGCTATTTTTCAAAGAAACACGTGTACTAAACACTGCTTTTGGGGAAGTTCATTTTATGCTCTTTTTTGTTGTTGCAACACAGGAGAATGCCTTCTACTGTGTGTCAAATAAATGAGCCTTTGACAGCCAGGGCATTTTCAAAAAGATCTTTATAGGATGACAGATCTTAATGTGAATACTGAATAGAGCCAAACAGACCTAAGTTTGATCATCTTGTTAGGTAAAAAAACTGAAAATGCCTCTTGTTTCAACACCCAGTGAAATTTGAGCAAATATACTGATTTTATATTGTTATATTTCAAAAATGTTCCAAAACAAAGAATAGTTGCTACAGGGATCAAGCAAAACATTAGGTTTTTTTTTTTTTTTATTGCCTGAGCCTTTATATATTTAGAATAATTGCCACTGAATTTCATGAAAGTCACACAAAGATCAAAAAGGAAGGGACTTAAGCCTTTGCTTTTAGCCATAATAGGTGGTCACATCCTGAAATCTGAAAATTTGCTTCATTCTCCAAATAAACTGGGAACTAGTAATGATTAAGTTTTTAATTGCAGCATACTGAGTTCAATGTATGTTGGCAGGTATCCTAAATTAGGTGAAATGCTGTCCCCTCCCATCAGTACTAGCTGGCTATGAAACCTTACCAAGTGAGACGGTCATATTCATTCTCCAGCTTGTAAATGAAACTGACCAAGGAGTTCTTCAGGTCAGCCACTTGACTGATAAGAGCCTCCAGGGATAGCTCAAGCTGCTTTTCCTCTCTCTGGAAAGGACATACAATAAGATTAAACATACCAGCTTTCCAACAGAATAGCAAAGTGTCCCTCAAAGTTTACCTTTTGACTTTTTAAACAACAATCCCTGTGTTGTTTTCGGCTAACAGATACATCATGACAGTTAGCTTCCCAATGAAAACTTAAAACAACAAAAATGGCTTTTCAGTAATTATAAAAGGAAAAAAAGGGTGACCCACTGATGGGAGAAAATGGAAGACAAAATAATAATAGGGGCTGAGGAAAGGACATAATGCTTCAGTTCTTGCTTTGTTTTTATTTAAAGGGGAATTGTGTTCCAACAGACCTAAACATAACAATGGGCACAAGGAAGAAATGGCAATCCATGGCATATAGATTGTTAAGGGCTACCTGGCTGCCATGACTGAATTTAAATCTCCAAGATCAGACCAATTATATCTAACAGTTTTGAGTAGCTTTTGGATTTCATGTTATCAGTAATGTTTCCAGATACAGTTCAAGGTACTGGTTAACACCTTAGTACTTCATAGCACAAGACCTGGTTATTTGAGGGATCTCACCTACTCTTGTAATTTCTGTCTGTTTTATATTATGACAAAGCATGCATATTCTAGGTCCCATTAATTATTGGGACCCAGTAAAACCTTTTCTGTTATGGAACCTGCCCACTGAAACAGCATTCCTCTTTCTTATGAGAGAATTTTTAATAATACAAATATTAGAAAAGAAACAAAAGAACTAATGCAGAATGGTGAATATGAAAGAAAAAAGAAAAGTTAAGGAAACAGCTTTTGATCTTTTTGACAGCAGTTATAAATACATTTTATTTATTTTTATTTATTTTATTTTGTCAAGTGATTATCAGATAATAGGTATAAGTAAAAACATAGTTATGAATACATGGATATATATAAAAATAAAAGAAACAATAGAACAGGGACGGTAGGCATGTTGGTGCGCTTATGCACACCCCCTGCAGACCTCTTAGGAAAGGGGTGAGGTCAATAGTAGACAGTCTAAGGTTAAAGTTTTTGGGGTTTGGGGAAGAAACCACAGAGTCAGGTAGAGTATTCCAGACATTGACCACTCTGTTGCTGAAGTCATATTTCCTTCAATCAAGTTTGGTGTGGTTAACCTTGAATTTGTATCTATTGCGTGCTCTTGTATTGTTATGTTGAAGCTGAAGTATTCATTGACAGGTAGGACATTACAATGTATAATTTTATGTACTATACCTAGATCAGACCGAAACCTAGCTTCTCCCTATGGTTGCATTATAATTTCCTTCTTTCCATAAACTACCCTTTTTAATCTTCAAATCTTTAAATCCCAAACTCATTTTTCTCTGTTGTCATAAAAAAGTTTATAAAGGGTTTCCAATCATTGATAAATGTAGTTGTTGATCTTTTTCTAATCAGATTAATTTTTCCACTATGGTTGCTTTGTCCATCTTCATCAACCATTTTTCTGTTGTGGGTATTTCAGAATGCCTCCATTTTGTGCATATCTCATTTTATACAGTAATCATATACTGTATAAAAATAAACTTCTAAGACACTTTTCTGATTGTCCATTAATCCCAGCAAGAAAAGTTATGGGTTCAGTTGAAGGTTGATCTTTAAAGTTATATCGCTCTATATATTTGAATTTAGAAATTTCTGAATTTTTTACAAATCCATCAAATATGATAAAATGACCGTTGTGTCCATATTTCTAACATAAATTTGAAGTACCTTTATACATTTCAGACAATTTTTCTGGAATCAAATACTGATGGTACAAAATTTTATAAAAATATCTTTCAAGTTATACAATAATGTAAATTTTAATTCTTTTAACCACTTATTTTGCCACTGTTCCATCAGTATATTGTGTCCAAAGTTCTTAATCCATTTCATAGGTCTTTCATTTGTTCTTTTTCCATTTCAAATTTCAGTAAGTTTAAACATTTAGCAATTCAACTTACAAGTTCAATTTACAATTCCGTCTTCTGCTGCTCAATTTCAAACATCTTATTTACTTTAAAACCTTCTCTTAATTGAACATACAAAACCATTATAAACTAAACCCTCCTGCTGTCAATCGCTCTCTTTATTTCATCTTATATTGTCCATGTTCATGGGTAATATGGGTAAAATACAGTATATACTATATATTACTATAGTAATCACAATTCTTAATAAAATATATATTTTAAAAAAGAAAAGCTGAAAGAAAAGAGAAGAAGAGGACAACCACTAGCAAGATGGATGAACTTTGTTATACTGGCAATGGTGTTCCACTGGAAGACCTGAAAGATCAGGTTAGGAACAGATCATTATGGAGAAAATCTAGGGGTTGCTGAGAGTCGACACTAACTTGGTAGCACAAAATCAATCAATCAGAATCTCTGATTGACAGATCTTTTACAATAATGTATAAAGTCTAAAAGTCTAAAAGTTTAAAGTATAAAGTCTAAAAGAGTTTCCAATCAGGTATTGTCAGCCTTGAGTAGAATTAGCTTATTTGGTTACGTTTCTTGTCTGCTCTGACAAGAAATATAATCAAATGAGCTAATTCTAGTTTATTGTAAGGATCCAATAATAGAATTTTGCAAGTCTGAATACAAAGTTCCCACTGCCACATTTAACTGCATGATCAACTAGGACAGACTTTCCTAAATTTCTTCCTCTGACCATTAAATCACTGGGGACCACCCACTATTTTTTGTCAAATTGTTTCCAAGGCAGCATTCTCTTCCTTCAAGGTCATCCTCATATACTATTATACAGGCACCTTGGGCTAGTCACTCTTTCTTAGCTCTGGAAAATAGGCAATAACAAACAGCTTCCAAAATCTTGGACCAGAACGCTCAGGGACTACTCCAGGTATCTGACAGGAGTGAACACTGACTGAAAGAGACATATCCACATATAAATACAAACACACAACCCCTCTCCAAACTGGTAGAATATCTCTCATACTTCAATTTTCTGAGATTGTGGATTTGGGGTTTTCATGAGCTGTAAGCCATAATCATTTCAATTATGACAAATCATGGCTTGAACTATCTTGCTTTGCATGTAATGAGTCTATCTCATATATTAGTTTCACCTTTTAAGTTGCATTACTGAAATAAATGAACTTTTGCATGATATTCTAATTTTTCGAGTTTCACCTGTAGTTATTCATAGTCAAATTTTCACAAACACGTTCAGTTGCAAAAACATTCAGCAATTCAGTAATGTGAAGCAATAAATAACTCAGCAATAAAATCCAGCTTCTCAATGATTAGGTTTGCAGATGCTACAGGCTGAGTAGCTGTCTTAACAATTATCCACAGGCAGTAATTATTAAGGAACTAGAGTTTATGTTTATAAAGACCAGCAGTCTGTAAGCTATGTGTAGCAATGTTGCAATTACATTTAATTTTGTTTCTTTTTTTGCTTCTAAATGAACTCTCCCACATCTGAGGTGTATTCATGTGGGAACATTTTCACCTCCATTTGTAACTGTGTAATCTTTACTCTGTGTTTTTCTATGTTTGATATGTAATATGAGACCAATTAATTAGATCTGTACCAATACTTTCTATAATTGTTATTGTTATATCTTACATTAAAAGTAAATTTGTTTAGATTAAAATGAAGTCATTGGCAACATTTCTGTTAAAATCCTGAGAGTTAAAGGTAAAAATAAAAATCATCAAGTACATTTATTTATTTTCAATATCTTTTGGGGTTTTCCAAATTACTATGACTGAAGTTTACTCCACTTTCATCTTAACTACACACGCTAGACTGTGACATCCTTTAATGTTCTTTCTTTAATTTAGCCTATACTACCGTGTTTCTCCGAAAATGCATGTCCTAAAAATAAGGCCAATCCTGATTTTTTGGGCCCTCCCCCCAAAATAAGCCCTAGTGAAGGGGGTGGGCATGGCCAGCACAGGAGGCAGCCCTTCCCTTCCCCAGGTGAGCTAATGGCAGCTGGGCCCCTTAATTGGGAGCCACGGATAAGCTGAGCTAATTGGTAGCTGCCTCTCCTTCTACCTCTCTGGGCACCTGGAGGTGTTTCTTGCACTCTTGCCAGCCACAGCCCTGCCGCGGCACCAGGCAACCTCACAGCCGAGGGCCCCTTGTCAAGTCCCGATCCAAGGCTCGCCATATCTGGGTGGGGGGTGGGGGCACGGAGCTGCAACCATTGGAACTGGCAAGTCCAACGTCAAGCGAGGCTGCGGTGGCAGGCCACGTAAGGACAGCATCGGCCAGCCACTTGTCAGCACGCCGCTCTTCTGGCCGGGTCTGGCTGCGACTGGCACCAGCAGGCAATGAGGTGGGTGGCCGGTGCAAAGAACAGGAAGGCAGCAGTGGCAGACAACGAGGTTCTCTGCCCAGTTGCTGGGTGGGCATGGCCATGGCCATGGTGGGCATGACCTAGTTGGCCTCCTGTATCACGGTGGGGGGAGTGTTTTCACCCTCCCCGGGCTCCGGAGGCTTTCCTCGAGCTTCTGGGGTGGCGAAAATGGCCAGGAGGCCTGTTTTTTTTGCCCTTCCCAAGCCTGTGTGTGGGCCCTGCACTGACCTGGTATCCAAATAGGCCACGTGGGGACTCCTGGAAAGGGAGGGGGCAGAGTGGGCAGGCCCAGCCAGGGATGGGATTTGCCGGTTTGCCGAACTGGCCATAAACCTAGCTACAGGTTTGCCCAAACCGGGGAGAACCAGTAGCAGCCCACCCTTGATTATGGGGTCATTAAATGGAGGAGGAGTGGGGGGAGGAGGGGGAGGGGGAGGAGGAGGAAATGTCTTGTAGGAGTATTGGGAGATGGATATCAGGGTACAAAGACCCAGAGGATTTCTGGAAGAAGAAACTTGGAGCTTCCATCTTTTTATTCTGTAAGCCACAGTAATTTGCTGCATGGTGAACAACAACCCTATATCAAACACCAGCTGAACAGGTCAAATCTAGATGAAATGAAGAATTTTCCAATAAGAGAGTGTGGATGCTCTTCTACCAACCAGTAAATAATTATAATAGTAAATGGACATCCAGTAAGCGCCAGGAGGAAAACTGAAGTCATGATTTCCATTGTAAAGGCCCTATTTTTGAAGACTAACACTTGGCTTAAGCATCATAAGTGCAACTGTTGTTTGCCTAAGCCATACAGAAAGTGCACATAAAACTACATTTTAAATGGAAAGTGGGAGCCTGCTATGCTACATAGAGAAGATCTAGCAGAACACACATGGAAGACCAATCAGAAAAGAAAGAGGGTTAATAAAGATGGATCTGCTCTTCCTGAGAGCAAGCAGTTTTCCAAAGTCTTCCACAGAAGCCAGCGACATAGCTGTAGCAGACACAACTACTGTAAAGCAGCAGAATCAAGTTCAGGTCCAGGCTCTGAGCAAATTAATGAGGTGGAAAGACAAGTACTAAACTTGTCCACCTAAGTTGCTGTCGAAGAAGCAGATGTCCTAAAAGGAGGAAAATCTACATAGATGTCAGAAACTGTCCTCAATTGCAACAGAGTAGTTCAAGACAGAGCAAGAAGAACTGCACGGTCTGTATATGATCTGGGAGAAGCTGGAATGCATTCTCACTCCCTTAGGCAATTTCAGATTTTGAATTTGAGACTGTTGTATCAGGAATATTTTTCACAAAGACGGAGAGAGATAATTAGTTTTGCTCAGGTTTTGCGGACTATTTTAAGCTTGCAAATAACCATCCACATGGCCATATTAGAAACAAGGAAAAGTTCAGACAGATTTTTTACAGGTCTGGAATTGGTAGGAATGCACAGTTCTGGAGGTGAGGTGGAGAATAACCAAGAATAAGTTGAAGGCACATATTTAAAACATGTCATTTTAAGAAAGTTCATAAAAATTCACAACTTTTAATATATAAAAATATTAAACACAGAAGCGGACAGGGTCTTTGTGACTAATCCAACTATTCTGAGGAATGCGGTGGCTCAGTGGCTAAGATGCTGAGCTTGTTGATCAGAAAGGTCGGAAGTTCAGCAGTTTGAATCCCTAGCACTGCATAACGGAGTGAGCTCCCATTACTTGTCCCAGCTTCTGCCAACCTAGCAGTTCGAAAACATGTAAAAATGCAAGTAGAAAAATAGGGACCACTTTGTGGGAAGATAACAGCATTCAGTGCACCTTCGGTGTTTAGTCATGCCAGCCACATGGCCTGAGTTGTCTTCGGACAGCACTGGCTCTTTGGCTTTATAATGGAGATGAGCACTGCCCCCTAGAGCCGGAAATGACTAGCACGTATGTGCAAGGGGAATCTTTACCTAGCTGTATTCTGGACATATGGCACTTGATTGGTCAGGGCTTCCAGGAAGATGGCATCAAGTTGGGCCTAAGCAGTTGTTAATACCTCTTTGCTGGCAGGAGTTACTGTCTGACTGAAATGAGGTGGTAATGCCCTCTTCTCAAAAAATTATCCTTGGGCCCAACAGTTTTAGACAACTTTCAACCACTTTCCAACTTTGACTTTTAGGGAAGGTTGTTGAGAGGGTGGTTGGCACTCAGTTATACAGGGCCCTGGATAAAGCAGATTAACTGGACCCTTTTCAGTCTGAATTCAGCCAGAATACAGTACTAAGATGAAATTGGTACTCGTCTCTGATCTCACGACAGGGAAGGTGCAACCATCCCGATCCTTCTCATCTCTCAGGGGCTTTCAATACCACCAAACATGATGTCCTTTGAAGCCAGCTTTGGAAGCTAGGAATAGGAAGCACTGTTTAGCAGCAGTTCTCATTTCTTTATGGCCAGTTTCAGTCAGTCAATGCAAGATCCCTTAGGGCTTAGATCTATCTCGTCTCCTCTTTTAACATTTACATGAAACTACTGGCTATGGTCATTTACTGGTATGAGGCAAGGTATACATCTCCATTTTCTGGCTGAGCAGGGGATGCTGCCATGGTACTGGCTGATTGCATGGAGGCTGTGAAAGTCTGGATAGGAAGGAAATGGCTTCAACTGAACTCTGTCTTAACATAGTGGCTTTTGGTCTCCCAGGGTCTGGTAAGATGCCATTTTTGACTCTGGACATAGCTGGTATACATTTTGGGGACTCCCCTTGACTCACAGCTACTATTCAATAAGCAGGTGATAGTCCTGGCAAGAGAGGCATTCACACAAATTTGTCTTTTTTATGCTTATGCTTAATCAATAATCTATAGGGACACCCAGATTCTTCTCTTAAGTACTATTATTAAGCCAGGTACCGCCTATCTTGTAGTTGTGCATCTGGTTTTTCCTGCCTCAGTTGCAGAATCTTATATTTCTTATCACTGAAAACATGTTGTTGAATAGGGCCAATGTTCAGGTCTATCGAGATCCTTTGGAACCTTGAGGCTGTCTTCTGTCAGCAGTACCCCACAGGTTTGTGTCATCTGCAAATTTTAGGAGCAACTCCTCTATTCCTCCATTTAAGTCATTTTTGAAGACATTGAAGAGTATTGGATCCAGGAGAGAACTCTGAGGTACCCCAGTACATACCTCTCTCCATGGGGATATAGACCATTATAGACCACATGTTGGATATAGTTGTTCTGCTAACTGTGAATCCATCTGGTAGTGGGACCATCCATCCCATATCTTTCCAGTTTATCAAAAAGGAGGCTATGGTCTACTTTATTTAATGTTGTACTGAAGTCTACTTCATCCACAGCATTATCCTATTCTACTAATCTAATCACATTATCAAAGAAAGCAATAATACTTGTCTGGCACAACCTGTTTTTAACAAATCCATGCTGACTGCTGGCTATCACTTTATTTCCAAATTCTTGCAAACCAAGTGCTTGATTATCTTTTAAAAATTTCCCCAGAATAATATTCCTGGCACTAAAAACAGTGCAGCATACAAGTCCCAAAACTTTCTGGAACAACCAAGCTTTTTACAAATTACCAAAAAGACAGAAATAGGAGATATTATTTTTCCAAAAAAGGAACTCCCATGGAAAATACCCACTGGGGGGAGGGCTTCTCGAACCTTCAATTGTCATTTTGAAATGTGTCATGAGTTAGTGCAGCTTCCAGAGCAAAAATATCACTGGCAGTAATAGGACTTTGCAGTAAACTTACTAAAATTTTCAGTGGTATTCGAGGACAGCTCTATGTAAAAAAAAATGACAGCAAATGGATACTGTAAGATGACAAAGCTGTGAATGAACTAAGACATTAAGATATTCATAAAAAGATGAAGATTTTAATTTTCCTAATTTTCATCTATACTATTGGGCTTATATTTTGACATATATTATTTCCTGGAAATCAACAAGAAGCTCAGAAAACACCAAGGACTCTGCAATGCAACTTTGAGCTATAAATATTCTCTTCAATTGGCATTATGCTGATTGTTCTACTATAGTAGAAAGAATTCACACCTCAACATCATGGATGGAAGACATACTTATATTTTGTATATATGAACTGCTTTTCTATGAGGTGAAAGTTTAATTAATTCTTTAAAACCAAACACTCTTGCTTGTTTTATCATTCTATGTATTTCTATGTTCATTCTACCATGCATTAATGTTTAATTATTTTTCTTTGTACTTTGTTTTTTGGCTTCTCTTTTTTCTTCCTTGTATTATCATTTGTTCTTGTATCTAGTTATTTTCCTTTTTTATTTTATTACATATTAAAAAGCAATAGAGATAGCTCTATTGCAACCAAGGCAATTGTGGCCCCTAGGTTTTTAAAGAACTCCTGCAATTAATGGGTTCCATCTAGTGGTACTCTAAATTTCTGCAGTCCGGATTGTGGAGTGTGGAGAGGTCAGTTTACAGAATGTATAAAATTTTGTATTTATTAAAAACATCTCAAGCACAGTAAAGTACATTGTAATCACAATTTGAAATTGGGGGTTTAACATTATTTTAGTTGCAATCATTTTTCTAAGACAATTCTTCCCGCAATTTCCATTACTCATCATCTGTCAAAGTCTTGCTGCTGTAATTGAGAACTGCTGGTACCTGCAGTTACCTAAAATGTATGTATTAATATTCAGTCATCCCAGATTGCATACAGATTCATAATGTCTGATTTAACATAGCTCTTTATATTGTATACTTCAAAAGACATGTTCTAGGATTCTGTCAGCAAATCCCATTGCAACTTTCTTCAATCTGATAATAGCTGCTAAGTATTAACTGCAAACCAATCAGTAATATCGTAACAGATTAAGCCAGTTAGAAATTCTAAAAGCTGTATATTGCTGCACAAAGGATGGGCATCGCTTTGGGGGAAATTATTTTAATCTCTGTGGGATTCTTACTTTCATCCCGTTTGGGAATGCAACCTAGATCCCATTCATGCAACACTAGCATAAGACTAATTCCAAGGCCTGCGAAGATTACAAAATAGATCACCCAAAAAGTCAATGTGCTAAATCGAGCAAAAAGTACAGCCAACAGGGTAGCAGCAAACCAACAGACATGACACATTACTTCAGCTTTCTGAACCAACAGCTTTCACAGCTGTACGGTCAAGATCTCTTCCAAGGTTCAGTGTGGTCGTCAGTTCTGATAAGTGTGCGCTATTTGCACGGGGGGGGACGGGGGGACGGACCTCGGTGTGTTGTTCCAGTCCCCAAATCCTCTGCCCACCCCACTCCCCCGCCTCCAATCTGCTGCTACAAGCTGGACAGCAGGCAGCCATGTTTATTTCTACATCATTTCTGAACGACGCCGTTCATTTAGGGCTAAGGTTGGAGAAGCCCAGTGGGTCAGAATTTAGCATAGGACCAGTGTGTGTCGAACAAATGCAGGTAAGCGGGCTAATAAAACAAACCACGGATTAGCGCGCTCCCGCAGCCTAGATCGCTCTCGGATCGGATCTTTTATTTTTTTTTAAAAAAAAAGCCAAGCCAAACTATACTCAATCCCGCCGGCAATCTCTAGGAGAGCTGGATCTTTAGACAAGCCCGGCATCCCACCCATTCCAAAACAACCGGCCGCGGCCACTTCACCTGCATGGCAACAAAATCCGAGGTCAGCGATTAAAAAGGCAAAGCACCCGGGCGGTTCACGCCATTTCCTTTTTTTGTTTCCTCTTCCGGGTCAGAGCATCATCACAAGGCGAAGGCAGGAGGAGGAGGAGGAGGAGAGAGAGGGGGGAGGAGGAGAAGGAGGGAGGGAGGGGCGGTTGGAGGGCCAGCGATGGCGGCTCCAGAGCAACCGGAGGCTGAGGTACGTACGCCAGGCTCGCACGTGCTGCGCTCGCGGAAGCTTGTTGTGGAAAGGGTGGTGGTGTGATGTGGTGGTGGTGGTGGTGGCTGTGCGCGCCAGCCCGCCCGCGGGGCGTGCCTTCATTTGAGAAGCTCCGAGCTTAATTGGTAGAGACGCGGAACGAGAAGAGGGGTCGCGAGGGTGGTGTTTTTTTGAGGGGGGGGCGGCGGAGGCGAAGGACGCCGCTGGGAGTGGCCGCTCGGTTTGCTTGGGGAGCGTGGGGGGGGGGGGAAAGCGAGGGTGCAGCGAGGTGCATTTCCCAGGGACCGGTGCCAGCGCCAGACCTGGTGAACGGTGAGGCTGTTGCACACCTGTTGCACGGAGAAGGTCTGAGGACGTGGTCCGTTAAAAACAACAACAACAATAACCCGGTTCCCAGCTTTCCCAAGCAAAAAGCTTTTTGTAAGACACGAATTGTGATGCCGTTTTCTATAGTTCCGCAACTGTGTTTTGATACAGAGCCAGTGTAAAGGAAGTGTTAAGTTAAGACAGTCGTTTCAGCCTAATTTGGGCACGAAAGATCAGCGGTCGATAAACTAACTAATGTGCCAAAGGTACTTTTTCAAGAGGCAACTGGACTTTCTGGAAGCAGAAAGTCCAGTTACCTCTTGAAAAAGAGCCTTTAGGACCGCCGTGACCTTGGATGACTGAGCATCTCCATAGACATTTTCTGCAGATGTTATCCTATCAAAGTCGGAAACCGTCACTTCTAACCGCCCACCTTCCCAGGGTCCTCCTCTCCGTAGCAGGGTGTTGTACAATGTACATCACTCACTTGCAGACAATTTGCTCCAGTTCTAAGTATTGCTAAATAGTTGTATGTAACTTTACTTGGAAAGCTCACTAATTGAATAGAATTTGTTTTCAAGTCAGTTTGCCTATGACTCAGTTTGCTGCTGCTAAGGGAAAATAATGGATCTTGAATAACATTCTCAATTTAAACCAGTATGTCTGAGAAAAGGTTAGCATGAGAAATATTTGATTGATGCTGTTGGCTGTCATTAGATCATCTTCTGTGACTTGTAACTGCAAATGATTGTTTCATGAAACATGCTTGCTAGAATCCTGCTTGCAGCAGAGAGATTTAACATGGTTGATTTTATTAGAAGTTTAGAAATTATTGAAATGGTTTTCTAAATCATTGACATGGCATAGCAATAGAAACTATTATTTACCACAATTAGCCAACTAAATATACCAAGAGCCAGCCTGTTACATTGGACCAGGATTAAAGAACTTTGGGTTCTCATCCAACCCTAACCTGTGGAAATGTTTTTGTTTTCAGTCAGATCTGTTTAAGCCCCTAATCTGTGTGAAATTTTTCAAAGCCAACAATCCTCTTGTATATTCAACAAAAAATACAAATCCAATTTATAGCTAAACTGTTTTTAAGGGATATTCACTCATTAATTTCAATAAAGCTTGCCAGACCAGAGGTTCTTGATCTTTAAAGAAAGTCAAAGAATAAAAAAAAAGTCCAAAGTGATTAAGAGATGAGCCTTTTAAGAGTCCATAGAGGCAAATTTAATGCTATAAGCACAATGGAATTCTGTGATTCTGAGCTGATTAACAAGCTGATTGCAAAGACACATTTCCTGCCTCCTTTCAAAAATGCAGCTGTATGGAGTACATATGGGCAATCTAACTTGGCCACCCAATTCCTGCAGTTGGATGCTCTTTTTTTGGCTACAATGTATTCCATTCTCTTCACTTCACCATGTATAAGTAAAAAGGTAGGTTAAAAAAATAATACATGGTCATGAATGCTCAGGTTCCTCATGCAGTACACTACCATCTTTGTCAAATTTTCTTTAATGGTAGATATCATTTTCAATCTCATTTCATTTCTAACTTGATGAATTTTTCATGTTTTTTTAATCCAGCAATTTGCCTGTGGCTTTTTATTAGATCTGTCAAAATTACTCCTCAAAGTGGGAGAAAAAAGCCCAGTTCAATACAAATACAATTTTATACATTCAGTTGTTTTTTTTCTCCCCCTTTCAGCTTTAGAGCATGAAATTAAGTGTGGATCATGTAATAACTTCTGTTTTGGCATATAATATAGGTAACAATTTAAATTTCAAATAGCTTTTTAATGTTTGAAAAAACACATGGGCATATTCCTTTTCCAAAGGCCCAGATTGTTGGGGGCAATATGCTGACTCTGTAAACTGCTTAGAGAGGGGCTGTAAAACACTGTGAAGTGATATATAAATCTAAGTGCTATTGCTTGTTTTTTTTAAATTTGCAGATAGAGGAGGCTGGACAGGTGTTCCTCTTGCTGAAGAAGAACTATCGAATTTCACGTAATGTGCGACTAGCTTGGTTTCTCGGTCGTTTGCATCAGGTTGTCTGCTCGATGTCTGAAGCTGAATTGGTGAGAAGATTTTATTGCAAAGTTTCCGAACATTTTTTGTAATCTGAGAGAAGCAGAAAGGGGTTAGTTCTTGTGATTTTAGGAAGAGTAATTCATATATGGAATGCTGTGATTTCTTTCAGTTTTTGCTTTTAGCTTCGTCTCTTAGATTTTTGTTTTGTTTTGTTGAAGGCAAAGTCAGACAGTGAGTTAGATATTCTCAGCATTCTACCAAACAGCTGGCAACCTGATGAGCCTTTGCCAACTAAGCCGTACCTCCTGGTGCCTTCAACACATGTCACTTTCCTTGCACACCGGTACCGTTTTGTGATTGAACTGGATTTGAGTCCATCTACAGGGATTGTAGTAAGTATATTAATCTCTCCAAGTTGTATTTTGAGTTTCCTTTGGCTGAGAGTACTTCCTGTTCAGAACTCCCAGAAATATATCCCCTATGAAGAGAAACCTGCCTATTTTTTTTTAAAAAAATCTAGCTTACATTTATGGAGATGTTTAATGTTTAATAGGTGAAAATTATTATGAGTTCCAAATATTTTAAATATAAAATTTGTAAGACCTACTTCCAGGTGACTGGAGAGAATTACCTCTGAGATAAATTAAGGAAAACTTGCATATCCTCTCTCTTTTTTTTTCCAGGATGACTCTCCTGGGGAGATAATTTTTGATGAAGTGTTCTATGCACTCTCAAGGTGTTTAGGAGGATTGTTAAAGCCCTTTAGAATCCCAGGTTCTGATATTATATTCCAACCTGAGATTTTCATCACTATCCAAGCATATTCTTCTATCATTAGCCTACAGATGCATCAGGTAATACTTATATCTTCAGTTTTGAGATGTTTATGCGAAATGCTTAAACTGTTTAGAGTTAAAATGACTTGTTGCCAAGGAATAAGACGATGAACTGTAATCTCCAGCATATAAAATGGACTAGGTATCCTGAATTACTTGTGGGCATTTTGGACTGCATTTTCTATAATCTATAACATTGACAGTATTCAGTATGTTTTATGAAAAAAACATAGTCTAAAATATTTGATGTCAGGTTGCCTGCCTGTGTTGTAAAGAAATTGTTAACTAGAATATGTTGCATGCGGATACATCTTCTGGGTAACCTTTTTATATGCAATGAGTTTGATCAGAAGGAAAAGTTGACCCAGGTGAACTTTACATCTTTGGCCTAATTATATCAAACATAGATGTAATTTAAGTTTTTGAAAATAAAAATATGTGTTGTTTAACGTAAAATGTGAGTTCTTTCCCACGTCATTGTAGTTGTGCTTTTAAAGTTGTAGCAACGTTTCGGCAGAATCTCATCTGCCATCATCAGGCTTCTGTATTGTGTTCGTCTGTGAGTCAGACTTTCACAGCCTTTTCTGTTTTAAATTTGGTGTTAGCCTACTGCTGTGCCAGAATGGTTTTTTCTTCACCCTGATTGGTTGGGAGTCTTGGTCTGTGTTTATTGGTCTTGGAGTTTGCTGTGTTCTGCTTTATTGGTGTTTCTAATATCTTCTGTCTGTTTTGTAGCTTTTTTTGTTGTTGTCTTGATTGGCTGGCAACATTGTGTTTCCTGTATTGGAAGCTTTTAGAGTGGCTTGGCTCCGAGTAAATGGACGGCTATCATTTATTAGGAAGCTAGGTTTCATCTGGGTGCCTGGTTGGGGTGTGTTTGAGCTGGAGGTATCAGGGGGGATCTGTTTGTGCCCAGGTGTTTGCCTGGCTTGTGGTGTGGAGATGTTTTTGTTTGAGAGTGTAGGCTTTCAAATAATTGACAGTCTGGTGGAGTCATCTCTTCTATTCATGCTTTCAGGTCTTTTTTCAATCTCTATGGCTTCTCTGATAATTCTGTGGCTGGGGTTTTCTATAGTGGCTAGGGTTTTGGTGCCATTGAAGTCGATGCTATGACCTGTGGCTTTCATGTGTTGGACTAGTGAGGAAGTATGTTCCAGCTTTTTTACTGCATTTTTGTGTTCATCTAGGCGGGTACTTATTCTTCTATTGGTCTGTCCAATGTATGTGGCAGGGCATGATGCACAGGGGACTTCATATATGCCTTGGTTTTCCTGGTCAATTTTATCTTTGGAGTTTCTTAAGATGTCTGCTATTTTTCTGTCTGTTTTGAAGGCAGTCTTGATGTGATGCCTGTGTAGTATCTTACTGATTTTGTCTGTAGTAACTCTTATGTAGGGCAGGACAGCTGTTCCATAGGTCTGTTCATCTTCTAGGTCTCTATTATGTCTCAGTGTGTTTTTGTGGATCAAGCCGGTGATTTTGCTTTTGTGGAAGCCGTTAGCTGTCAGTACTTTAGTCAGGGTGCATAGTTCAGTCTTTATGTGTGTCTTGTCTGCCAGGCGTTTGGTTCTGGCGATTAGTGTTTTGGTCACGGAGTTTATCTGTGCTGGGTGGTGGTGGGATTGGGCGTTGAGGTAGCGGTTGGTGTGTGTTTTCTTCTGGTATATGGTGTGTCCTAGTGTGCCATCTGTTTTTTTGTAGATTAGTACATCTAGGAATGGTAGTTGTTTGTTTGTTTCCGTTTCCATGGTGAACTTGATTTTGGGGTGTGTGCTGTTTAGGTGTGTTAGGAAATTGTTTAGGTTTTCTTTTCCGTGGGGCCAAATCACAAATGTGTCATCGATGTATCTTAACCATAGTTTGGGCTTGTGGGTGGCATTAGCTAGGGCTCTGGATTCAAATTCTTCCATGAACAGGTTTGCAATGACGGGTAACAGTGGTGATCCTATAGGGGCTCCTTCAATTTGCTTGTATCTTTGTCCTTTGTATATGAAATATGTGTTGGTTAAGCAGTGTTCTGCTAGTTCCATGAGGTGTTTGGCTGGTTGGTATTTATTTTTCATGATTTCAAGAATTTCTTTTATCGGGACTTGAGTGAATAGTGAAACCACGTCGAAACTTACAAGCAGATCTTCTTGTTCCATGTGTAGATCTTTGATCATTTCCAAGAAGTGGTATGAGTTTGTACATGTGAAGCTGCTGCTTCAGCATGGGGCTGTAGCTGCTTTGCTAAGTGTTTAGCTAGGTTTTGTAGTGGTGCTCCTCTGGAAGCTGACTATGGGTCTGAGAGGTATGCCTTCTTTGTGTATTTTTGGGAGGCCGTATAGTTTGGGGCATCTGGAAGATTTTTCTCTTGGGATGATCGTCTGTT